TGAGGTAGGGGTAAAGTGGAGGTGAGGAATTGGTTGGGGTGGGATGGTGGGGGTAAGATGGGGTAGTAGGGATGGGCTGGCATGGAACATTAGCTTAACTCCCTCCTCTGACTGAAACCATGAAGCTGGACTGGGAGATGTACCCCTCAAGATGTTCTGCTGTTAGGCCACCCTTTTCCTGTGAGAACGGGTTTTTCTTGGCACTTTTTTGTCTATGCCTGTTGAAGATTTGGGGTTGCAGGTTTCTAAGGATGCTGTTGGACATATATAGGAGACTACAAGGAACCCAGGAGACCCCCAAGTCCCAAGGCAGCCTGCTTGCCTGCCATCTCTTGTAGTCTCCCTGTGTGTATTGTGTCACATCCAGAGTTTTCTAGGGAGGACTGGGCATCTCGAGCTGTGTCTTACGCCTTTCCACAGTACCTTGGTGGCTAACAGAATGTAGCTGGGGCTCCTGGCCCCCACTGCCAAAAGCCTTGGACATAGTGGCTGCCACCCAGTGCCTGGCCTGGCTCTTGTGACAGCAGACTCCTCCCCTGCTACCCAAGCTGAGGGTGAGATACCATAGGATACTGAGGAGAGGATCCCACCAGACTCAGCAAGGAGGTGGGAGGGGCTGAGATGGGCGTGACTCTGTCCTCCTCAGTGGCCATACCATCCAGGGCAGAGGCCAGCCCTTCTGGGCCCTGGAGCCACTTGGGGTGGTTGAGGCCAAGGTCAAGGTCCCAGGAATCCATAGCTGGTCCTAACAGAGGGGCCAAGGGCCGCCAGGAATCCAGGGGGCCTGCCTGGGAATGGGACCTTGCAGGTGACTCCTTGCTTGGCTGAGTGGGAACCGCAGGTGCTCCAGGGCTGTCCTCACTCTGAGCAGTGGGATGCTTCTCTGCTCACCTGTTTTCCACTGTCCCAGGTGATGGGTCACTTGTCCCACCTACGGGGAGGTCGGCATAGATGCTTCTCCCAGGCAGCCCTGGTCAACGCGGGTGGGCCCTGCAGAATCATCTGACTTCTGCCACAGTAGTGCTGCCACCCTCTTCATGGCATACCTGCCAAGGGGTTCTGGGCTTAGACCTAGGTAGGGTGGGCTGAGCACCCCCCAGGAAGGAGCCCTGAGCTCCGTGCTTGCACCCACCTGCTCCTGGTGTCCATGATGTCTTCTGTGAGGGTCTCTAAGGTGCTGAGCCCCTCCACCTGGCCAGCAGGGACCTGAGCACACAGGGGCCTGCCACCCCCAGGATCATGGAGGCTACAGAGAACCTCTACTGCCTGAGCCTTGTGACCCGAGTTTGAGCCTGTCCATGCCAGGGTCTAGGCACAAAGCCGACCTTAACCCATGCTCTGATCCAACTTACTCTTCTCTCGTGTGGGCAAGCCTCTCCATCTCGAGAGGCCACAGTTTACCTCAAGGATCACTGCTGACCCTGAACCTAGGACACGACAACCTGCTATGGAACAGGGGGCTCTTGGGCTACCTTTGCCTCTGCCCCCTGGAGCCAGTGGTCAGGGAGCCTCCGGACCCTGGATCCACATCTGCTAACCCCCTGCCCCCTGCCATTTCTGAGCTTGGAGTCTGGTTATTCTGCCCCAGGACAGCAAGAGTAGAGTAGTCTGGGCCTACCAGGGTCATCAGGAAACACAACACAGGAGCCTGAAGCCCCTGGGCCAGCATGGAAACTTGTTAACAAATGGAGCACAACTATGGGCTGCTTGCATACCACACAGCTCACTGTCTGCCAGGTAACAGGGCATTTTGGGGCTCCCAGGAGTGCAGACTGGTTCTCCCATAATCTGACACAGACAGTAAGTGTGCCCAGGGCTGCTGAGGGGGCCCCTGCCAAGTGGAAGGGAGATCCTGGGGTTCAACACACAAAACCAGGACCCCCCCTGCAGGGTAGCCTCATCCCTGCCCCCACTCATGTGTCCTGTTGTAGACAAGGTTTCCCTCCCTGTGGGGGGTGCAAGAGACCAGCAGTTTGAGATGGGCCTGGCCGAGGCAGGCACCTGCAGGCAGAAGAGACCAAGTCTTGACCTTTGAAAGTAAGAAGTCTGACTCTCAAGCTGCTGGAAGGCTCCACGAAGCAGGAATTGGTGTGGGCCCCTGGGGCCTGGCTTCCAGTCCCCTGTCCTGAGGGTACCAGCCCTGGCACACAGGCACAGGGCAAGACCAGCTCCTGTGGCCCAGATGGGTGGCCCTGGGCTGCCCCTCCATCAGTGTGTGACTGAGGACCAAGCCGTCCCCTCCCTGCCTGCTAGGCCGGGAGTTGGCCAGCCTCCTGCCAGCCCAGACATGGGATGCTCACATGAGGGATGGGGGGTAGAGGGGGTGGGGGTAGCCCATGCCTGTGGTCCTGGAGGCAGGGGAGCCCTGCGGGTCGGGCACAAGCCAGGAGCCAGGGTCTGGCCGAGGCCAGGCTTGGCCTGAGTCACCAGGTCCAAGCTCAGTTTCCTCGTCTGCC